ATCATATCCTGGGTCCCTGACTATGGGCGGGCAAGCCATTCGTGTCAAATGAGCCGAAGTTCCATCCCATTCTGTCCCTATTGGAGCCAACAAATCATGATATGGGTGTGAATTACATGGATGTCAAGGGCTTGAAAGGCCACATAAATCTAATAGGTAGCTGACCCCAAAGTTTCCTCATCATATCCTAGGTCAAGCACTCACCAAGGAAGATCTCTTTTATTCTAGGATCAACCTACTACTCACTAGCATCATCTATGGCTTTCATTGCAATGGGATTCCTCTTGTCACGATCATAAAATGCTCCTTTATCCTCAGATTATATTATGAGGCAATGAGTTTCTCTTGCTTAAGGCTATTCCTTTTCTTCTTAGTAGGCGCTGGGGGAAAAATGCATGAGCTAGAATTTAAAGAACTAGAGTAATAATGCAATAGCCTACTTATAAAACTATAGATTCAAGTACAGTTATAAATAAGACATGAGTTTCATGAACTTATAAATTTATAATTATAATTTATAGCATATTTACCTTCTCAAATGAACTCAAATTGCTATCTCAACGAGATTAAATACATGTGACTTCATTTATGTAGATGGTCATCTTTTGTAAGTTGGGAGCACTACTTCTATTTTGGCTTCACCACCACCCCACAATTACGTTGTAAAATTGTTTAAATTTAAAATTGTAACTTATAAAGTTCTTAAGTTGTAACTAATAAAAATCAAGTATATATTCACTATATAACATATGGAATTATGCAAGTTTTAAGAAATTACTCAAATTGGATAGATTACCTCGATTGGGTTTAATCTTTTGTCTCACCACACTTTCTTGCCAAACGATCTTAGCGCACATTTATATAAGATCAACTTTTGAGCAGATATCTTACCCTTTTTGCCCTTACTAGGAATAAGCCTCTCAAATATTCATTGAAGCCATCCATAGCTGCATCCTTCCTCTTAATATCCAAGTTTGCATAAAAAGAAATTTGGATTCCAATGCTACCTAGCTGAATACAGCCGATGAACCTGCTTATCCCACTTTCTATCTACAGTCTCCCATATGAGGTCATACATGGTCTCATGTCACCATCATTTCTTAGTGCCTCAACTATCTCTCTATTAGCTTCCTTTATTGCATCATATATAAAGCCCATAGCAGGCTTAGCCTCATTATCGACCAAGTGCAAAAACATTGACCAAGGATAGGCATTCTGTAAGCACACTGCCCCACTTAGGGAAAATAATATCTTATAGTCTCTTACCTTGAGTGTGCTTGGACTAACTTGCATCTAGACTGATCCTCTAAGTCTGAGGTGAGCAACAATTGCAATTGGCTTCTCTTATTCACTATGCTTTGTAAACTTATGAAAGACGTGGCAAATCTCATGACCCCATGCTTCACTATATCCCTCTTTTCATTGAACTTTGCATCATGCTAAGGGTAAGGTTTGACTATAGATTTATATTTCATTGCATGTTCCCTCTTTGCATTGAACTTCGCGTCATGCTAAGGGTAAGGTGTGACTATAGTTTAATATTTCATGGCCTGAGCCTTTTAGGAGTCCCCTTAACCCTGGGCATTTTGCTTTTAGAGGCAATGTTATTGAGATCTATTGATGCACATGCTGATATCCATGTTGCAGAACGTATCTTTTCTTTGGTTGAAAAGTGCATTGAGGAGGTTGGAGAGGAGCATGTTATGTAGGAGTAGGAGTGTGAAGAATTAGATGGTGTCAAGTTTGAAACCCCATAATTCACCAATGCATCCCCGTTGGTCAAAGGGTATTCCTTTGTGAGTTGTACCTTCTTTTATGGCAATGGCTCCCTAAGCTCATAAGGAGTTGGGCCCTTCAACCCTGACCCATATTGACCTGTTACCTCCAACACTGTAAAACATCTTTTAGATGAGGAACATTGAAAGCCATGCCTACTTGATGTGTCCACCGAGCAATATATTCACATACTCAAGCTCAGTCTTCCTTCTTAAATCCATTTCAGTTCTAACTTGCTTCTTCCCTTTCTCTAAGTTTCCCTAGGGGTTGGCAGGGAAAGACATCCATGGGCCTCTTCATAAGAGGCTTCTTAACATTGATACCTTTCTTCGTACTTCAAGAGGCACACACTTGAGTGTCCTCTTCATCGTCATCACCAAATACAGTCACCCTAGCCTTCATCTCTGCCTTTGATTCCTCCTTTACTGCATTTTTTTTCTTTTTTTCAGCATCCAAATCTTCAATCATCTCCTTCTTAATATCTGTCAGGACATTCTTACATGAGAAATCATCTCACCAATACCCGCAAGTTGTTTTTTGAATCTAATAAGCCCCATATTCGTAGCTTGTTCACATTAATTTTGTTACTTTGTTTCAATATTTTTATCTGGGCAATAACTACTAAGTGGTTCCTCACTGCTACAAGAACTTGAAAAAGATAGTTTGAAAGAATATAGTATCTCAAATATAGAGAAGTTTGACTATCAAGCTCAATCCTCATTGTCTTGGATGAATATCGAACTCTAATCATGCAAAATATCCTCTTGTAACCTCTCTTGATAGTTCACAATGAATCCTATAAAAAAATAGGATTTGAGAATATTTCTTGAAGTTTCTTAGATTTTTTTTTCAATCTAAAAAAAATTCAATGATCTTCAAGATTTGTTGTTTTATTTTCAAAAAATATGCCTAAGAAGGATTTTTAGCGTTAGAATAATCCGCCTAGGTCCTGGCTGTCTAGGAGTGCTTCCTTGTCATGGATGACGCACCTAGGCACTATCCAGGCAGCGAGGGTCGCAGCGTTTTCCTGCAATCTCCTTAAGTGCCCCAATCCTACCACAAAACTCCTTGAACACATCGATGAGATCTTCTTGATGCACCCTCCAAACTTTTGATATTAAGATAGTTGAACCCGTTATTAACTTCATTCTATGATACGCATTGCTTCTACTAGTGCCTTGAAGGATGGACTTTAAAATATAGTGTCTCTTGCCTCCTGTAGATATTGTTTCATCTAGAGGTTAGAAACATGGACTCAGTTTTCTGTAGTGTCCTGATCCATGTCAATTAGGCAGTATAAGTTGGTTGAGTCTAAAAAGACTCAGCCATGTCTAATAAAAAATGTATGAAAATAGTGAAGTCATCCAAGTTCATAGATACTTGAGTGAGAGTCATTACCAAGGTGATTTGACTGAGGTGAGTCCTGAGTCCATTTAGCTACTTTTAAAATCCAGGTTTGATCTGCTCATCTGCAATGCTCCTAGTTGCTGCCTCAAGTTTTCATGGCGGTCTTAGGCTGGAACATATTAAACTGCTGTTAGAGAAGCTCGTGATCACTCCTTTGATGTTTTAATATTTGCTGAGGGGGCACCGTCCACCTTTAGAGAGAGTATGATAGTTCACAGTCAGTGAAATGAATCTATTATTCTCGTTTCTTCTTTGCAATTTTACCTCGATATTTTGCTAATCCCCTAGTGCCTTATAGCTTGAAGTTTATTACGTTGTTGCATATACTCTAATGGGACTACACATTCCTCTTTGGATCGATCCCACAATAATGTTTAATTCTATCCTTTGGTCATGTCAAACACTTTTTGGAGCTCCGCATTGTGTAGCAAGGTTCAAAAACAAAATTTGATTCCCAACTCAGACCATTCCAAAACTTAGTCAACTTGCTTACCAATATAGTCAACTTGGAAATTAGAGGACTACATATTCCTCTTTGGATCGAACCCACAATAATGCTTAATTCCATCCTTTGACGCCATCAAACACTTTTCGGAGCTCCTCATTACATAGCAATATTCAAAAACAAAACTTGATTCCCAACTCAGACCATTCCAAAACTTAGTCAACTTGCTGATCAATATAGTCGCCTTCCAAAAATACCCCTGTGAACAGTATGTGTGACTAGTAACTGTGAACAGTAAGCATGAACGGTAACTGTGAGCAGTTTCATGAATAGTACTTGTGAATAGTAAATAAAGACAATATAAGAAAACCCTAGAATTCTAAAGAAAAGCTTAAAATCTTAAGAATAAATCCTAAAACTAAAATGAAAATATACATCCTTTAAAATTGAATAAAAATTAAGAATAAGTATAATTTTGCCTTCCATCATTCTCCCTTGGTTGGAGAAAACTCGTCATCGATTTTTGAAATGTGTTAAAATGAATTCACATCCATCATTCTCCCTTGGTGGGAGAAAACTCGCCCTCGAGTTTTGAAATGTGCTAAGATGAATTCAGCATCAAAACTGCATTTTTTAACCTTTTTTTTCTTTGTTGACTCAAATACTATTTGTGGTTAGAATAATTTCTCAAGAAATTGATCACAATATCAAGGTTTCAAAAAACGCTAGGCGGCCTGCCTGGCGCCCAGCATCCAATGCCTAGGCGGGCGCCTAGAACCTCGGGTGCCCTGCGGTGCAAATTCTTAGTTTTTTTTATATATTTGCTATCCAAGTGCACATATATGCATATATTTGTATCAATTTTTGTAATTTATTCCATTTGAAATTGAAAATATCGCAAGTTCGCAACATATGTTTTTATATACAAACATATCACATGTATCAGCCTCTCAGATAATCAAGTTGAGAATAAATTTATTCAAAATTTCAAACCAAACAAAACATTTGAGTCTAATAGGCTATTGTAAGGTCTCCAACTCTCATATTCTCCATATTCCATATCCATAAAATAGACCATAATAACATCCAAGTCTGCAACTCTCCAAGTCATCAACAAACTGACTTCCAAAACCATAAAAAAAACCAGTAAACCACACAACGAAATAGTTCAAAAAGGCAAAAAAATTACAAACCACATAACTAAATAAAAATCGTTCAAACTCCAAATGTGTAAAGCCCAAACCAAGATGGTGCAATAAAATATATTAAAATTACTTCAAAAGAGGAGAGAAGACAATCAAGACATCAATAAGAATCAGAATCATCATCTTCATTGCTTTCATCTGCATCAAAATTGAGGCCGTCATCATCAGAATCATCACCCTCTTCAACATTTTCCTCTTCTTCTAGAGATTCTTCTAAATCTTCCTCCTCTTCCTCTATCCCCCTCCGTGAAGTACCAGCAGAAGAAGTTGCTCGAGTGGCCCTCCTTGGATTAAAAGCTTGCCCCAAAGCCTCCTCGACCATTTCCCATGTCAAACCCTCCCTAGGGCAGACCTCCTCAGTACAGGGTCACTAACTAGCCAATCTGAAGCATTCTCCATGTCTTTTGAAGAGATAGGGTCCTTCTTTGGCTGATTTTTCTTCTCCTTGAGCCTTTGATTCTCTTTAACAAAAACCAAGTCATGGAGCTTCCTTTGCTCAAACCTATTTCTTCTCTTTGTATGCACCTATAAGGAAAAATAATGCATAAGTAACTACTATGGGTCTATGATCTTCTTACCTTTTATGAATCTATATTACAAAATGAACTTATAAACAAAAAAAGCATGTAAAATTGTAAAATAGTAAATAGTAAAATAGTAAAATACCATCTCAAACGAACTCCAATTGCGCTCACAACCAGAAGAGGTAGTTGTCAAACTCAAGATCCGCATAGCCATCTTCTGGAAGTTTGGAGCGCTACTCTCATGTTGTCTCCACCATTGGGCTGCAATATTTGGGCAACCTTTATAATTAATTTAGGTATTTAACATTATTAGAACTTGAAAGAAAATTATAAATTTATATTTTATAAAACAAAATTTCTTATAAGTCAAAAGAATATTACCTGGTTAGTCTTTGTTTCTCTGCCTTAATGCCATATCTTTCCCAAATGACATCAAAGAACACTTGTACGAAATCAGCTCTTCAGTTGATATCTTATCTTGGATATTTGGATCACGAACTAATTTCTCAAGGCACTCATTAAAACCATCCATAATTCTCCCTTTTTGACTTGATATCTGCATCTGCATAAAAGAATTTGGGGTCAAGTAGTACCCCGCTGCATGCAATAGTCTATGGAGCTGTGTAACCCATTTGTCATTTATAATCTCCCAAATTGGAGCATACTTCGCTGCATCATTGCCCAAATTCTCTGCAATCTCATTCTTAGCCATTTCCATTGCATATATAAAGCTCATGGAGGGCTTATCAGCATCAACCAAGCGCAAGACCTTCACCAAGGGAAGAAATACCAATATCGTATGCTTCACCCCACGCTAAAAATATTTCGAAAGAATAATATCTCGTGTCTTCTTTCTCTTGGCATCTCTAGACCACTTACACCTACTCCACTCCTCTGAAGCAAACATAGACCTTAATTCGATCCTCCTCTTATACATGTTCTGTAGACTAAGGTAGGCAGTGGCAAATCTACTGATCCCAGGCCTCACTAGCTCTCTCTTTTTTGTAAACTTACGTATCATTCTAAGGGTAAGTATGTGACAGTATATGAAGATTGTAACCTCCTTAGCCTTAAAAATAATTCTTTTAATAGTAGGCAATTCACCAATTGCCTCAAGCAAAAGATCTACGCAATGTGCAACACAAGGAGTCCAAAATATGCGAGGCCTCTTTTGTCGAAGCAAGTGACCTGCAGCTAGATTGAGGGTAGCATTATCTGTGACCACATGAATTGCAAGTTCCTTCCCAACCTCCTCATTGCCCTTATCAATGAAAGAAATTATATAATGCGCATCATGAACATCATGGGAAGCATCGATTGAGCGCAAAACAATGTACCCATGGAACAATTTACTAATAAATTCATGTTACTCCTCCTCCTATCACTCCACATATCTGTCATGAAAGAAACCCCAAATTTAGCCCATCCCTCCTTATGAGTCTTAAGATGTTCGTTAGTGTACTCGACTTCTTTCTTCAGTAGTGGCTCTCCAATCTCATAAGGAGTTGGAGTTTTCAAACCTGGCTCAAATTGCCCAATTGCTTCCAACATTGTATGGAAGCTATTCAAGCGAGCAGTGTTAAAAGAAATGCCCGCATGGTAAAACCACCGAGCAATATATTGAATCGCTTTGGCTCTATCTTCCTTTTTAAACCTATTTTCAATTGTCATCTATTTTTTTCCCTTTCCCTTGCCTTTCTCAATTACTGTCTCGAGGCTAAGTGTAAAAAACTATCTATAGGCCTTCTCGTACGAGCCTTCTTAGACCCAAAAGCCCTCTTGGTCTTAGAGCTCTGAGTACTAACCTTCCCCTTCTTCATCATCCTCTTCTTCAGTTTCAATATTATCATGAAAAATATGAACCCCTGACTTTAATTCTACTATATCATTTTTTTTTGCAACTTTTTTACTCTTTTCAGCTACAATGTACTCCAAAATTTCTTTCTTTACAAGATCTGGGACTTTCTTACATAGGGTAACATCACCTCTAATACCGGTAAGATGTTTCTTAAATCTATTTATACCGGCATTAGAAACATGTCCACAGAAATTGCACATAATTTTATTTCTGTCATTCTTATCAAGGTTAACACAATATTTCCATCCCGGATCTCCACCCCTAGTAGACTCCACAGAAGACATCTCAAATTAAAAAAATAAAACTCAAATAAAGATTACAGACTGACTTTTTCTACCAAATCTCTTATCTTCGATGTTGGTTATCTCAATCGAGCTACGAATCAACTCAAAAGTCTTCTAATACCACCTATAGCACCTAAAAATAATTTCAATCAGAAAAACAAACTTTTTCAATCCACAAGAGGTACTTTTGATTCTCAGCAATTGCTTTAGATTCTCATAAATAAGTTTAAGATTGAGGGTTTCTCGTTTTTTTTCAGTTTGGGGTTGAAAATAAACCCCTAAACTTCTTTTATACAAACTTGGGAGTCAAAATAACCCCCTTTGTCCTTTTGGGCGAAGTTTAAAAAAAAAAAATGTAAACTGTGCTGGGCATCCACCTAGCCCGCCTGGGCGCCCGCCTAGGTACAGTCGTGCATGTTGGGGCGCCCAGGTCGAGGCGTGCGGAAATTTTTTCTGGACGCCTAGGCGTCGGGCGGACTGTTTTTGTAAACATTGCATAATATACATATTGAGGAATTAATGCAAATTTAGTAAATTCAGCTATTCTTGAGCTCCATTGAAAATCGTGTAAGAAACTTCAAACCCAATGTTTTTTACTTAAGAGGTTTTCTTGACATCTCATTACTCCCTAAAACCAGGGCCACAATTTGCAGATTCTGAGTGGACCATGGTTCCACTACACTACTCTGATTCCAATGCACTAAATCTCCTAAATGTTCTACCTCCTTGATATCCTTAAGATCCTCATCTTTTACTTCATCAAAGATCGGTTCACCCACGAAATCTTGATCATTATTATAGATTGAATCTCTTACAAGATCTTGTTCATCATCTAAGTATGTATCCAAAATTGGTGGCAAATCCCAATCTACAACCTGCAAATTTGTTATACGACTTATGCTAAAATCAACCTTGTTCTCCTTCAAATCATGTAGATCAACTAAATTACATGATCTATTCTCTCGAACTTGAGGCTCCCTGTCATGACCCCGCCCCCTACCGGCCCTGTATGGCCCACAAAGGCCAGCACCGAGCCCGCAGGGCATGGGATCAGACACGGAAGTCGAATCAAAGCTGGTATTGCAAAGAGGGCACACTTGATATCATACTCCCAATGCACAACACGTGCATAGAACGGGTGGTTGAAGGCAGCTTCATCATTCCGCTCCTACTCTGAGTCGGACTCTGATTCGTACCATTCTCCATAAAAACCCTCACGATTTGGATCTAGCCCTGTAGATTCCTCTTCATTTAGGGCATGTTGTTGCTGGCCCTTCTTGCGCAACAATAGCTCTGTAACCCTCTCCATCAAGTTGTTTTTTCTTGTGCTGTTGGATCAAATCAGCATCCCTATTGCTGAGACCTCCACAACAAGCCATCCCAATCTCCATTCGTTCTCAGACCATGCTCTGATACCACTTAATGCAGGAAGGAAAGGTGGGAAATTGAATCCACCCTTTTCCTGAACTTTAAACAAGTAAAATCAACAATAACGGAGAAATAACATGGCTGTAAATCAAGCCAAGAGAAGAAAACTTCATTCGTTTATAAAATAAAATTTATTCTAATAACATATGCCTCTCAAAGTATGACATCCAACCTTTTGTAAGCTTATGAAACCCAAATTTAACTTGAGATCCAAGAAAACATTTAACACTCTAAAATACCAAACAAATACTAAAATTTTAAAAGTATCCTTCTGAACAGTATGTGTGCACAGTAGGCGTGAATAGTACCATTAATGGTACTTGTGAATAGTACATAAAGAAAATATAAGAAAACCCTAGAATCCTAAATAAAACTTAAAATCCTAAAAATAAATCCTAAACGAATCAAAATACACATCCTTTAAAATTGAATGGAAATTAAGAATAAGTATAATTTTGCCCTCCATCATCTCCCCTTCTTCCCGAGGTCACCCGTGATTGTCCGCTCATCTTGAGCATCTAGGTTCAATTTTTTTAGTATATTTATTTATCTTCAAATAATCAATTCTATATTTTATTTCATTTTTCTTTTAAATGTTTTTGTCCTATGTTGAAGTTAGTTAAGCAAAATCATGATTATCTTGGTTGACCTTGATTCTTCCCCTTTTATGTAATGATTGTGATAGAAATGTTCATTTGAAAAGGACCTTATTTTTATGCAAAATAGTGGTAGCGTCAAACCTCATGGTAAAATGTTTGTATTTCATTATATTGATGTTCTTTTGATTAGAGTTTTTCTTCTTGTAGTCATGGGCAGTGATTACAAAGTTGACGGAGGAGAAAAAATCTGCTATTCAACAAACTCAGAAGTTGCAGCAAGAATTGGTATTGTGTTAAACTTTTTCATTCATTTTATTAATTTGTTTTTGTTGATGGTGGAATTAGTTTTAATTGATGAAATTTATTTATATGTGCTTTTGCATTGCTATTTTGGCGCTTAAATATTTCCTATATGCTCTATTACCCATTATTTATAAAAAAATATTTATTCATTATTATGACTTTGTAGTACAATTTTTATCGTTTCTTGCGTGCACTCGTTTCCTTTGCTTTTAGTTTACCTCATAAGTCCTATTGAGTTTCAAAGGATTTATTTCATTGTTGATGCCAATTCTGGCCTTGTGTAAGGTATTTATGTTCATCATGACTCACTATGTCCAGGTTGTGTTCTTTTCATGGCAGGTATGCGTTGTCTAGTAATGATGGTTGGAATTTTGCCCATTATTGCAAGTCCGTATGGTTGTTTATGAAGTCTTCTTCTTTAAGAAAAAAAAGAACTAGTAAAATATGTTACACCATGACAATGGAATGGTCGGCAAAGTAAAAGTTTCATTGAACCTACAACTCTCACACATAATTAGTTAGGTTATGTGCTGTCTAATACTGCGTCCTTGTAAGGCTTAGGCCTTTATATTCAATTACAAAACAGTTGCAAGCAAGTCATCTTGTGGCTCAACAAATCCTAAAGTTCACAAGACCCAATTTTGTTCGCCTACAATCTCCTACTAACAGGCTGTGTCGTCTCTAACAAAAATCCCGGTTCGATACTTAGACTGTTCGAGTTGAACGTGCATGAGTTGGAGTCTTTTCGATGTGCAAGAAGTTAAGGGGCGAATTAGTTGATCAATGAATTCGATAGATGCAGAATGGAAAATTCTTGCTAGTTTTTTAGGTAATAATCAATCTTTTGTAATTTCTTTGTTACCACCTATTTCTAGGATGGGAAACATATAAATAGGTGTTTTAGGGGTTCACTTATTTGTAGGAGGTGGTATTTTGAAGGGTTTTAATATCTGTGTTTCCCAGCAATTATCTTATTGTTGGGGATTTGGAGGTCTCTAGAAGTCGCTTAGAAATTAGAGTTAAGAAGGTTTTGTATGCATAACAATTCAGGTACAAATTTTTATTTCAGATTAACTACAAATATTATTTTGAGGAAATCATTTAGGAATAATCCATACATTGTTGCTTTATTTCTCTCTCTTCATATGTAGACTTCTTGTTTTTGATTTGTGCATTAGCGTGCGTCTATTGGTATTAGAACAAGCTTTTCCTAGGATCAGATCCTTGATGTTACAACTTCCAATATTTTGCTCTCTATAGATTTATTTTATGCTCTGTTGACATCCCAACCAATTTTAGTATAAGCTTGAGGTCTGGGACCAGACCATTGATATGGCAACTTACAATGTTTTGATTGTACATACCTCTTTTCATTAGGACGTGGTTTGTATGAGGTTGAGCCCCTAAACAATAAAAGTAAGCTGTAGCTCTAAATAGTGTCAAAAGATGATTTTTTAGTAGCAAAAATCTTTGTGATGGACTTAATATTTATTTTCATCTCTAATTATAAATTTTAAAGCTTCAAAAATAGTGTATATTGAGCAGATCAATTGACATTTGAAAAAATTGAAAATTGATGGCCCAGATAATCTATTGCAAGATGCACTACTTCCCATACTTGAAATCGATTTTTATGCACGTCTATTCATCTCAAGGCTGAGATGATCGATTTGAGGGTTTTCCAACATCAAAACAACCTCTTCCAATGAATTTTTAAGGTGCGCCTTAATTTGATTGTTTAGGGCCTCAACCATATATGAACATATTCTTTTTTTATTTATGTTTATTTTTATTTTTTTTATTTTTGGATAGGTTAGCATGGTTTTGAATACAGGATATTGTTTTGTGAATTTCAATATCCAGAGCTTGAGCGCCACACACACTCCTCTTCACTATTAGCCAATTTTGGTTTCCATTCCCACTGCCACCACCCCTCTAACACCGTCGAAAAAATTAACTCTTAAAACTATTTGACAAAATGGGTAGGGGTCCACAGGGTTATGGACATATTAGCCGTAATTTGTTACTAAGAAAGGCTACAAAAAGAACTCACATGTCAATAGTGGAGCAGCAAGCTGCGCCCTATCTTATTCTGAAATGGGTGGAGAAAAGAATGATGTGCTCTATTAAGTGGCTTTTCCAAAAGGGGGCCCACTGTCCATGTAACATGGTGTGCATGACATTTGTAACATCTTGAGCATTTGGAGATCTTGCCTTAGCCACCTAATTTGAAATAATGGAATTCATACGCTCGAGGAACACGGTTTATATTCCCAGACTTGATCCTTCTTGAGATCTCATTCTTGACCATTTGGGATCTTGATTCCATTTTGGCTGGGATCTTAATTCTCTATAACATGGGATCATGTTCCATAGTTATTAGATTATATGGTTAGATGATCTTTTCTTCTTTGTTTTTTCTGGAAATTGATATATGGTTAGACGAATTGTCAATTAAAAAAATGAAAATGACTATAATCACTAATCACTGTGCATTATTAGCGTGTGTGCTTGCTCGTGTATGCCTTATACTAATAGGTGATTGGAGATAAATCTCAAGGTTCATGAACAACATCAAAGGCAGGTGGTGCACATGTATATCATATTAAAAATGAATAATTTGTTT